ACGAATTAGAGCCAGAAGAAACCCCCTCTCCAATCAATACAATGACTAACCCGACAGACAATAGTCGTGACGGCCTTCAATGGTTAAATGAAGGACCAATAGCATTATTAAACRGATATAATGAAGAAATGTATTCATCAGACGAATCAGAACCAGAAGAAACCCACTCTCCAATTCATACAACAACTACCCCGACAGACAATAGTCGTGACGGCCTTCAATGGTTAAATGAAAAACCAATAGCATTATTAAACGGATATAATGAAGAAATGTATTCATCAGACGAATCAGAACCAGAAGAAACCCACTCTCTAATTCATACAATGACTAACCCTAGAGCTAGTTACATGGATAATGGAAACACCAATAGTGAGTTTCAATATTATTTCTTTAAAATAAATTTTTATGACAATGACAATTATTAGTATTAGATTGAAAAGCATTATATAGTTTTATTATTATTTTATTTCATATTTCAATTGTATATTGTAGCGTCTCAGCATACAGAAGAGTGATCCTTGTAATAAGATGGAAGGGAAGTGGCAAAATTAATTAACAAACTGTTTAAATGATTAAGTATTTGGTTTTTATTGAATTAAAACTGAGTAGAACACTATTTAATTTATTATGGATACTAGAAATAGTCCAACCGTCAGAGTACATTGGTGCTTAAAAAGTATCCTATTACTTGAATATTTTCTAAGTCCCAAATTTATTCGATTAAAATAATATTTCAATTTCAAAAAGGCGATTGGCGTGAAGGTACTAGCTCTAACAGTTCACGTCTGAACTTATTTTATTCAGGTCTCTCTTAAGCCTGACTGTCTTCTAAATTACTGGTATCGTGAAATGTGTATGTGCCGRTTTCCAGGTATACTAATGTTTCACATCCATGCGGTTGCTTTGTGGCTATATCCAGTTATTCATGAATCATGATACACTATCTGATTACTAGCATAATATTATTACACATATTATGTATATGTATGTCAACTGTCATTTAAATAATGCCATACTATATCCAATCTAATATTTTAGGTTATCTTATATTTCTTTGGTATTTTATCTATGATTCACTCAGGCCAGTCTAATCCAAGGCTGGTTGGCTGATGTAATTGTATAATCTGGTGTGAAACATATACATATATAWATGTACATACTTTTTTTTTTTTGTGAGCAAAAACAAAATTTATGTGAATAATACCCTATAGTAACCTTAATGGGTTGAAAAACAAAGCTACAAACTTTACCTCAGTCTCAGGGAATCTATTGATACAACTGTTATAACTGTTAAAAATATTTGAGTCTAGGAGAAAATAAGAATTCATTTTTAAATTTCGGATATAGATTTTGAAATATAAAAATTGAATTTTGTACAAATCACAGTAAAAATCTGCTGGGTCACAGTGTAAAGTAGGTATTCATTAAAATATTAAATCGTTTATAATTTTTAGGCAAAATTTTTCTTTACAATGCCCAAGACCATTTATTTAGGGCTCCTTAAAAGATTTTATTTAATCAATCAAAGTTCACGTTTAGAGTTAAATGAACATATGCAAACAATTAAGTTTGACAGCTTAATATTATTGTAATTTACTGTTCAAAAATAGTTAATAATAATAGTTTTTAATTTTAGATTCTAAGGGGAGGATGTGTTTCTTTTGTATGTATACCTGAAAAGTAGTTGAAATAATACTTTGATTATCAAATTTGAGGGCGATAAAAAATTTGATTTAGTAAGATGGAAGTACATTTGAAAATTCAAAATAGAAAATTCCAAGAAATCATATGAAATGAGTATCTGGTAGCATAGAGAACAATGCAAAGAACGTTGAAATCTTTGCCTTACTTATGAGGAATCACCTTGAATTATGTTTTCAGGTCTTCGCTTTTAAAATTTAAAACTAAATATACTGTTAATAAGAAAATAATCTATGAACTTGATTTTGACTTATTTAATAGAATTAAGTGTACCTACCAATTTTTTTTTWAAAACCAATAATGTTATACCTTCATAAATCAAAAAAAGTTATTTTTAAATAAAAAATGAATGATTAAATTATTTATTTTAATTTCTGTTTTAGGAATAGAAAACCTGGCAGTTATTGCAAACAACATACGAAAGAAAAGAGAAGTTGTTTCTAAGGCATCCAGCGTTTCTAGAAGCATAAAGAAACCTAGACTGATGTATGATGTTTAATCATGAATGCTCTAATTTTCTCAATTTAAATATTTTATTTATAGAAGTTCACTATTAAGTATTACTGTGATATTTAATTAGTTGACTTTCATTAAAAAAATATGTTTTATTGTTTTAATATATAATTATTTTATTCCATTTAATTTTTATAACTTTGTCTAAAAGTTAAAAATAAGACATTGTACATAAAACAGCCTTCAAAGATTTAATTTTCGTGGTCATAATCTACCTCCTATAAATTATTCTAAAAACTATTACGATAAACAAGGTTATTACATATGTATATATATATATATATATATGTATATATTTTTTTTTATTAATTTATATTATATTTATAACCACATAAAGAACAAGGCTTCAAAAATCAATCAATAAATATAATTTCTTTGTTTTTTTATACATTTATATTGTAAATAATATTTTTTTAAATAAATGTATTTTTTGCTCAATAAGATTATTTTCTTGCTTGGGTTTTTTAAAGTCCACCGAATGAACAAGTACTTTTAATTTATTTCCGCAAGTTACCAGTTTTATACTTCATAGTTTTTTCTAATAGTACCATGAAGATCTGAGTTTTATTATAATAGTAAATTATTACATTTTTCAKGCAACCCAGCTTTAGTATAGTTAGATAAAATACCAAAAGTTGTGGCCGTTGTGGTCCCCAAAACAGCGATTAAAAAATTACAAAAATACATATGCACGATTTTTTTTTATTAGCATTTGAAGTTCAAATTTTGACTAAATACATAAAAATTACGGCAATGTTCAAATTAT